TGGATAAATAGATGATGGATGGATGGATGGATGGATTGATTGGATGGGTGGATAAATAGATGATGGATGGATGGATGGATGGATTGATTGGATGGGTGGATAAATAGATGATGGATGGATGGATGGATGGATTGATTGGATGGGTGGATAAATAGATGATGGATGGATGGATGGATTTATTGGATGGATGGATAAATAGATGATGGATTGATGGATGGATAAATAGATGATGGATGGATGAATAAATAGATGATGGATGGATGGATGGATGGATAAATAAATAGATGATGGATGGATGGATAAATAAATAGATGATGGATGGATGGATAAATAAATAGATGATGGATGGATAAATGGATGGATGGGTGGATAAATAGATGATGGATGGATAAATGGATGGATGGATGGATGGATGGATGGATGGATGGATAAATAGATGATGGATGGATGGATGGATGGATAAATAAATAGATGATGGATGGATGGATAAATAAATAGATGATGATGGATGGATAAATAAATAGATGATGGATGGATGGATGGATAAATAGATGATGGATGGATGGATGGATAAATAAATAGATGATGGATTGATGGATGGATGGATGGATAAATAGATGATGGATGGATGATGGATAGATAGATTGTTTACTCACCTTGTTTATTTTGAAAATGAAATCTTCAGGCTGAATGTTTAACGGATTGCTGGTTTCATAGTGTTTTCCGTCGGATTGGTTTGGTTTCAAGCTTGGTTTGAGGTTTGGTGAGTGCTGCTGTCCAGTGATAGATGTGTTTCTCCTGGTCTTGAGTTGTAATGATCTGATGATCTGGGTTTGTTTATCTGTAGGCTGTTTAGTTTTAAGTGAATGTCTCTCTGGACCGGATGAGTTGCTGAGAGGCTCCTTCAAGCTCCGTCTCGTGGCAGTGTGGTGTTTTGTGATAAAAGCAGAGGAGATTGCTAATTCTGAAGCGCCTCCAGAAATGTGTGACTGTTTTGTTGTGTATTTAATGAAATGAGGGATACTCTGTCTCTGTTTCTGTGTCCAATCAGTGCCTGCCTGCCGTTACTTTGAAACTAAAACAGCTTGAGCTGATTCTAAAGAAGTCTGCTGACTCCGTGTGTAGCTTAAACACAAGCATTTAATAATCCTGAAAAATGTCTTGCAGTTTGGTAACCGTGGTATAAGTGGAATAATTGCATAATTTAACATTACTGTACAGCCGAGGTATAACTCCTCAGGATGTCCATTCATTTAAATGATTCCTCATGTAAAGAATCTTGATTTGGTGAATGACTGTAATTACAGCTCTCTAGTAAATGTCCTCTTACAATTGAACTGCTTAACATACGGACTCATTTTACACTGTCTTGTACATATTCCTGTGTATTTGTCATTTATTTTAAGATTAAAATGAGGATAAAAAATATATAATTGATTGATTGATTGTTGATTGACTCAGCTTTTCAAATGTAACAGACATAAAATATTTACGTTCTGTCTTTAGTGTTATTTTAGTATCCGTTGGCGTAGGTATAATTTCACTAATATTTTTATTTATTTTTATATTTTCTGTTTTAATTTTTTAGTTTAATTGTGTTGTGTGTTTTTGTCATTTTTATACGTCTATATAGTTTATTTTTATTTTTTTTCCTTCAGTTTTATTTTGATCTATTATAGAATATCAAGTTAAACTTTATGAAATTGGGATGTTTCCCAGGCAAGTGACTTAAATAAACTGTTTAAGTTGTTTGTATATTTTATTTTATTTCAGTTAATATTTACTTAATTTCAAGTAACTTTTTTTTTTTTTAGTTAATATTAATTATCCTGGATCAGCCTGTCTTGCATCTATCTTTGCATCTATTTGTGTTTATAGTCCCTTTTATGCTGCACATTCACTTTTATTTGTGCACACTGCCGAAAAAATCAAGAGTTGTGTTGAGAATCTAAAAGCTACCTTGCTGCTTTGAAAACTGCCCTGCCTTGCTTTCATATTTCCTTCAGAAACTGCAAATCTAATTTAGATCGTTCCAGTTTTTATTGTGAGACACTAGATGTGTCAAACTGCATTCTCATGGGCTTTTATGCATTCTTCTTCTCTCCGTATCCCCTGATGTGTTTCTTCTCTCCCTCTGCTGGAGGCTGGTGTAACTGCAGCGCTGTATTGAGGTCAGCAGCAGAGCAGTGCGCTTTACAGACAGCAGCAGATAAACAGCAGCGTGTCAACACTCTTTGTACGGATATGCAATCTTTATAAGTGTGTGTGGGGGATGCATTTGTATGTTTCCCACTCTTTCTATTTCTTCCATCACACACACAGTATTCTAGCAGTGATGAATGTGGAATGCTTGCTCTGTTAAACCGGCTGCCGCTGCACAAATAATACATTGTAAAATCACAGAGGCGTCCATCTTGGCTCTGGATCCTGCACAGTTTCCTCAGACCTCTGTCCTCGTGTGGGCTGGGAACTGCCAAAGCGTTGGGATTGGTTTGTTTGTCATAGAGCGTGGAGCTCGCGGTGTATCATGCCACGTCTCGGTGTTTTGACAGCATGATGGTGCGGAGGATAACAGCGCTGGTCGTGAGCTCGGCTAGAGGGAGACAGAGAGAAACTTTGGCCTTGACTTGCGCTCTTGGTCACTAGAGAGTGTGTGCATGTGACAGGAAGTAAGAGTGCAAGACTGTTTTGTCTTGTTTTCAAATACAAATGTTGAAACTTGCTTAAATCCAGATGGATTTAGTTGAGATGTGAATTGAACATGATGCAGTCTTGTTTGAGTTTATGCTTAAAACGAGAACACATATCTCTCAATAGGGGAAATGAAACTTGTTTTGTCTTTGAATTAAGTCGATTTTTTTTATTTTTTTTTATGAGGCCAGTGGCAGATATTTGTTCTTGTTTTAATCATAAACTCATTTCATTTTTAACCATTTTCTCATAAAACAAGACTTCTGGTTTAGTGTCATTTTGCTTCTCAAGTAAATGCATCTTGATTTACATTTTTTTTTTACATTTACACTGGAAAAAGTATTTATTTATGTAGTAAAATGAATGAGAAAGTAATGTAGATATATTACAAGTTGTATTTTCAAATGTTGAAGCATTAAAATACATTTACATTCCGAGACCATATTGGCATATTGTGTCTTAAAACGTCTTAAATTTACTTTCATAAAACCAGCAGAAACCCTGGCTTCAAAATTGTGCAGTGTCTAGAAAAACTTCTTAGTGTAAGTTAAATTCAGTATATATTACTTATAATTTGCTAGTAAAACGTAATATGTTATGATTGTGCATTTTGTCTCTTAATTAGAAGCACCACAACATTACCAGTGTGTTTATAATATATAACAATTTCGAAAGCACACCAAAAACAAATATGCTAATAACGAACACACTGCTTGATTTAAAAACGCAGGTATCAGTTGAAATATATATATATATATATATATATATATACAAAAAAAAAATGCATGTAGTCTTCAGGTATTTTTAAATTAAGTTCACGTTCAGCTTGAAGTTTATTAGAAGTAATCAAATAAACAAACAAACAAATACATAAATAAACAAGAAAAGTGAACAAATTAAAATAATACAATTGCTGAAAAAAACTTAAACAAAAGGTACAAAAACCTCAAAAACTTAGGACACACACATGCATACGGGACTAGTCATAGAAAGGGTTTTAGCCTCGCTCGTATAACTGAAAGACATTTTTAGGGTATCCTGATATCACTCAACGCTAATATATGAAGCAGAGCTTACAGATACGTTTGTGTGCTGATCTGTTAATTCTGTCTGTCTTTCAGAGAATGTCTGAATACAGCTCGATGTTGAGTGATCTGTCTGAGAACATCACTAATGAAGACCTGGAGCAACTGAAGTCGGCCTGTAAGGAGGACATCCCCGAAGACCAGAGCAACTCCATCACCTGCTCCAGAGACTGGTTCAGTTACCTGGAGAACAATGACAAACTGGCACAAGGTGAGGAGGACTCTGGACAGATTCATCTAGCATGAGAATGAATGTGCTCTCACTCAGGCTGCGTGCACGAGTCGAACAGAGATTAGAATAAAGTTACTAGTCACTGATAATCTTCCTCTCTGGCTCTCAAATATCATTTGCATTTATGTTCAAAATATTGAAACATCCTGTTATAGGTCACGAGAAAAGGAAGAACCAAGTATATTTGACACAACAAGAAGTAGCAAAATCGTACATATTACAGAAATAACACACTTAAGTCAAGTCACCTTTATTTATATAGCGCTTTTAACAATACAGATTGTGTCAAAGCAACTTTACAGCATTAAATAGGAAAAATAGTGTGTCAATAATGCAAAACGACAATAGTAAACACTACATTTTCAGTTAAATGCAATTAATCATTGAATTAAAGGAATATACTTGTGTGAACTTAATGTACAGTTTTTGGACACTTAGTTACGTGTTAATTGCAATTAAAGTATTATAGTTTAAATGTATATTAAATACAATATATGCTGAGCATTAGATTGTTCTGACCCACTTAAGTAGGACTTAAGTACATCTTTGTATGCAATTTCATAATAACGTCTATTGTCTTTGAAATATAATTGAAGTACCGCTGAATGTACTGACAAGCATGTATGATCAACTAAAATATACTTTAATGTAATTTCTATTGAAACTTGTGTCATGTATTTAAATATATTAGTAATGATGAAGTTGCAATTTAGTGCAGATTAAGCATTTAAATCTATTAACTTTAAATGTAATATTGGATAAAATAAATTTAAAATCATAATCAAGTACTTTAGATTTACTTAAACAGTGACTTAAAATGTACGTAATTTGCCTTTATTACAAAGGTCACTTTTTAAAAGTGTACTTAAGTGTGTTTAGAAACATAGTCATGAAATTGTCGCTCTTTAAGTCACTTAAGTGGCCTTTTATTTCATTCGTATTATATTATCTGCAAGTACAGTTTTAAATATATACTTTAAAGATTTGAAGTGCACTAAATGTGCGCATCCAATACAATTTTCACAAGGGTGTTTCATGAGGCACTACATTTGAATATGTTTAAACATTTTATATTCCAAGAAAGTAAATTGTATGTGTTTGGAAAAGCATGAGGACAGACTTTTCCATTCCTTTACATGACAGTTGAGTTTATTGCACAGGTATGTGCTCATAGTTTGATAAGACGTCTCTGTGTGTGTCTTGCACAGATGACCTGTCCTACATAGAGCACATCTTTGAGATCTCGCGGCGGCCGGACCTCTTGACCCGGGTCATTGAGTACCGCACGACCGTGCTGAAGATCTCCGAAGACGACGAGATCGACACCAAACTCACACGCATCCCCTCGGCCAAGAAATACAAGGGTACGAACGAGTACAGTCTCTGTGTCCTTTATTGAAATAGTAGCATCTGTAACAGAGTTGTCCTTGCGTCTCTCCTCTCTGTCGTAGATATCATTCGCCAGCCGTCAGAAGATGAGATTATCAAACTGGCCCCTCCCCCTAAAAAAGCATGAGGTCAAAGTTCACGACCTCTGCTCCTCATCCCCGGCACTTCATCTTGCCCATCATCGTCACCAAGCCCTGCCCACTCCACCTCCTCCCACCGAACAGAAGCCAGGCAGCCAATCAGATCGCCAAGATGCTTTAAAGCCACGCCCACTCCACGGAGGCACAGAAAACTGAACGAAAGACAAAGAAATGGACAAAAAAAGACTTGCAGAACGGATCATCAGGTTGTGTGTCGGAATGAAAACCAATCAGTCCGTGTTTGCTGACGCTTGTGTGGAATTGTGTGTGTGCGAGAGAGAGTTTATTCACACCCGTGATGGGATCAGAAGTTGGTCAGACCAGCGCAACAGGGGATTCGCAGTTAATGTGGCGACTAGTGTGAATCTAAATGAAACCGGTTTAGCCACTGATCGCTGTTCCTTTAGACACATTTATTCCCTGGTTAGTATCGTGGGTAGACTCCAGGTCCGTACATTCCCTTTAAAACACGACTCATATCAACATTTAAAAGTGTTACAGATAATTCATCTTTGAATTTGTGCGATTGCCACTTAGAAAGCCAATATTTGCCTTCTTTAGAAATTAAATGCATTATCGCAGGGTATGCAATTACCTAGTAGAGAACTGATATTGCTTTTTATATCTCTGTATGTCATACTTCTAGGAATTATAGTTTATTAAAGTATCAGTTATATAAGAAGAATCATTGTTTCGTATCAAACGACAGCAGTCATATATATATATATATATATATATCAACGTAAATGGAGTTTGTCAAACTAACATGGGAGAAAAAAATTAGACGTTTATCTTCTATTATTAAATGTATAACGGGCCGAAAAACTCTGTCTGTGGACGATTGGAACATGCTAGAACACAAAATGCATGGAAAAAGGGGGGGAAAAAAACAAAAAACAATGTGTGTTTAGTAAAGTTTTAGCTCCATTTCTGCAGTATTTGCATCAGGAAATAGAAGGCATATATTTTTTGTTAAAACTTTAAATTGCTCAATTTGACTACTTCTATACTGTGAATTATTTATTCAGATGCCTCAGTATGACATTATGTGAAACATTAGGATGATATCACATATTTCCTGTTGATAATTTGTATACTGATAGAAACAGCTGCGACTGAAACAGGGGTATTTATGTCAAGGATGT